GTAACTGGAGTAGGAATGGTCACACACATGGCAGAAGCTGGTGTCTCACTCCTGTTCCCCTTCTCAAAGTGGCTCATTAAAACCCACAAACACCCCCAGCCCTGCCATTCTGTGGAACACTGTGCTGCTCAAGAGTGTACAAAAGGACCACAAAATAAAATAAAATACAATAAAATAAAGTACAATAAAATAAAATAAAATAAAATAAAATAAAATGAAGGTTTGTTTAATAAAATAATGCCCTGAGAGTGGCTCACCCTGTTATTCCTGTTTAATTTGGAGACTTGTTGCTAAGCCACAGATTGGGAAGGATTTTGTGAGTAACAACCCTGTGAGCCATCATAGAGATTGAGGAGGCTACAGAGTCTGGGAAAACATCTAATAACAGGGCCAGGTGTAAACCTTTGAATGTGCCTTGACAAGCAGGCAATAATCCTGGGAATGGGGCTTGGGCAGACCCCATGGATGTGCCCAGACCCCATGGATGTCCCCAGACCTTTTGGACAAGCTCAGGCGTTTTCATCAATGATGTCCACATATTGAGGAGCAGGCTGAGTCCAGAGGGATGAAAATCCAGAGGGATGAAAATCACCTCCAGATCCAGCCACTAATGAGAAACCTGCACATTTCCTACAGCCTTGGATGTGCAGGTCGACCAGGGCAGCACTGAAAACCAGCTCAGATGCTATTGATATTTTGATGGCATTTTCAGACATGTAATCACCTTTCACTGGACTGGGGAAGAGGCTGGAAGAGGGTGTGGGTGTTGTTGATGTATCCATATCTGCCCACTGCTTCCAGAAACTGCATAGTCACCGAGACATTATTCTCAGTGTTTGGCACCAAGTGTGGATTTTAGTTGATGCCTGACTAAATACTTAATTTATTTCTATGCCATAGTTTAGAATATGCCAGATTTCTCTGCTGTCTGTTTGATGAGTATTGGCTCTCACAGCTATTATCTGGAAAATTGGCAACACGCTCCTCCGCATGGTATTTAAACTGAAAACCAGAAAAAATTAGGACATAACTAAAAACCTTCAAATTTTACCTCCTGTTTGTGCTATTAAAATCTACAGAATCACCAAATGATAAAACAGAACTTGTGACTTTCTGGAAATCACTTGGTCCAACCCCCTCTGTTCATTGCAGGGCCAGCTGCAAACACAGAGTCCATACACTGATGCTACATAATTTAGATACTCTGTGCCCCTTTCCAACAGCTTTTTGGGATACTGGAAGAGCTTTAGCTCTCCTGAAGCCCACATTTTCCCCTAACAGCATATTTTTGAATATCCTTTAATGGACTTTCCCTGTCCCAGAGGGGAAATAGTTCTGCCAGCCTCATTCTGTCCTGGAGCAGAGAGGGCTGAGCCCAACCTAGCACAAAATCCTTTTTATAGGGCTTTTAATTAAGGCTAATTGATGTATTCATGGCAGGCAGCCAGACACAGAGTTGGTGCACACCAGTAGTCTCAGATTGTGGGCCAAACAAGCTTGCATCTCCAAGAAGAAAACAACAAAGAAAAGAACATATCTGCTTTATAGAAAACAGATAAAAGGTTTGTGAGAATACTGCCTCAGATCCCTGGTTCCACGTGCCATGCATCAGGGGGCTGATTAGCATAATATAAGAAATAAATACAATTTATTCACCATGGCCTGGTCAAGCCCTTTTTAAATGCTTCTGCTATTTGAGTGTATAAAATCAATATGTGCCTTCTTGTCCCACTGTGCACTACAAGGTCAATTTTCTGCCTGGCTAAATGCACCCTCGGTAAGGATGATTTTAGTTTGTTTGTCATTTGTTAGATGGCACAGCACTGATCTTTGCACAATATTCTTTATGTCAGTAAGAACATTCACTGCTTCTCTGCCAGAAGAAATGTGGACTTTTTGTCAGTTCTAGCTCCATTCAGCACTTTGCTTTAAGAACGTATTTCATTTGAAAATGCACCATTGCATATTAAACCAAATAAAACATGTAGAGATTGTGTTATCTGCACCAAAAAAATTAGGGGAGAGTTATAAAAAATATTCCCAGATGTGGAAATCTAGATGGATCAAACTTTTCCTCCTACAGCCTATTAAGAGAAATGTTAACAAAACCCATTCAAACCCTCCTCTGCAGGAAAATGGTATTTGAAAACCTTTTTTTAAAAAAAATAAATCAGGTATCACTTTGACACCACCTCTCTTAGGGAAAAAAGTATTTATTTTAAAAGACAATCTGTCCAATTTTGACATCCAAAAAGATAGGCTTGAGTTTTCTAAATGCTCAAAATCCAAGTAAAAAAGGCGGAAATTTCTCACAATATATCCTTCTATGTCCTCACTCCCAAATTCCTATTAAAACTTTGGATTATTTTTTTGTTTTTCCTTCCAGTTCAGGACATCTTTTCCCCCTAAAACCCTCTAAGCTATTTCATGAGCACAACATCTGTTTTCTGACCCAGGCAATGATGTGGAACGGTCTCAGTTACTTCCAGGGCAACTGCTCTTGGCTTTGCAAAGAGTACAGCATTATTTCTGCAGCTTCCAGTCCTCTGAAACTGTCCTGGGATCCAAAATACATATTAAAGTCTGGTCTGATTATCAGATTCAGCCTTCACACCTGTGCAACAGGGTTACTCTCCATGTGGTGGTAAATGAAGACTGAACTTGAGTCTGGCAATGAGCCCAAACTCTGGTGCAGCATCAAGCCCCTACAGTTGTGCTTCTTCTGCAGAACACAGAGAAGAAAAATGGACAAAGCTTAAGTTTGTCACTTCCAGAATCAGCTCTGCTCTAACCCCCGTGCCCTGGCAAAGACAGGAAAAAAAATTTATAAATACAAACTCAGAAGAACTGAATCCTCACTACAACAGTATTTTTTTTTCAGTAATTATCCTGAAGTGCTGTTCTATCTCTTATATGCAACATTACACCAAAAAAGCTATTAAAAGTACTCTAGTTCATTTGCTTTGGGAAGTGTTTACTTTTCTGTACACATTTTCTGTACACAATTTATTTCTATTCCAGAGTCCAGAAAGATAAAATCCACTGGTGTGCAGGTAAAATGCTTTGGACACACAAAGCACAGGGTAGCTGCTAAGGATGCTGTTCCCAGCATCTGGCAGGAACATCTGTACAGGTTTTGAGCTCTTACAGGAAAGGAAAGGAAAGCATGCAGCCAAGAGCTCCCTCCCCATGGTGTGTCACTGCTTGAGCACTGGCCTGGGTGGAAGGGACACCTTGGTGTCCTTATTGCACTTAATGACTACAGGGGGTTGCTTTCAGTCCAGCCTGAACTACAGGACTGTGAATCATGCTTTTTAACAGAGAGGGAAAGCCCCAGTCACTCATCACATCATGCACAATGGCATCTCCACGAGGGACAATGACAACCCTGTGGGAGACAAACTGCTGACGACTCCATGAAGCAACATGTAATGCTCCCACACACTGATTTTGGAGGCAAAGTCCTTCAGAATTGCACCAGCCATTGCCAACCCCACAGACTGGGCCTGCCCCAGCACACAGAGGCTGGGACAGCCCATCCACAGGGCACCCATCACTCCACTGCTTTGTGCAAGGTACAAGCTGGTTCCACTGAACTGGCAATGGACAGTGCTGGGATATCAGGGTCAAAGCAGCACTAGAAACAGACCTGGAGACACTGTATTTTTTTCATGAACTTGGTATTTTACACTATTTAGCCACTCACTACACATTTGAACCACTCAAGCTGCACTTGAACTGTAATAGACATTCTGGGCCTGCCCAAATGATTTTCAAGGTCAGACTAATCCTGTTAACACATTCTCTCATTGTAAAGTGGCACAAAGTTACACCTGACTTGCAAGATAAACCTAAACAGAGATCCCTTTGCATGCCATGCAGTTCTACCTAGAATTAATATCAGTCATAGAGAAAGAAAAGCAGTCTGTCACAAAGGCAGAGGAATTAAGGCTAAAGCTTTCTAACAAAGCCAACCCCCATTATCCTGCTGTCTCTTTTACAGTATCATTTCATGGCAGGTTCATGCATTCCAGGAATTTTAACAAAGCCTGGCCCCCAGACTGAGCCTGATGGCTCAGCTATTCACCAGGCAGCCCTGGGCAGTGGCTGTGTGTCTGTCTACACCATCAGACCAAGTCAGGCAAGAACATTCAACACTTGACATCTTGGCACTTGACCTGTACCCACAAGGTCTGTGCAGACTCCTGCAGCAACCCTGTAACTCCCTAACCCACAACCCCCCCATTCTTTCAGGGTTCCAGGATGGGACTTGTCACAGGAATGGGAGGTCCTGTTGTTTTGCAGGTGCAGGTTGTTCTTGCAGTCCAAACCATGGCTGCAGAGTCATGGATTTGCACTTGTGTCAGAACAGCAGCTGCAAAATACAGCTGAAAATTCTGAGAGAGGCAACTGCAGCTGCAGAGAACTAAAATGAGAATGAGCATTTGGCCTGACCACCAGGCTTTGGGAAGGGCTGTGCCCTACTGTGGCTTTTTGTTCTTTCTCCCCCCCACCCCCTTTTTTTTTCTTTAATTTCTCTAAGAAAGAGGCAAAAATAGGACAGAAAACACTGTCATCTCCCCAAAAGCCTCCATGAGTTAACACAACAGAAGCAATGACTTCTCTGGCTTTCTTATGAACTTTTGGAGCTCTATAGATTTGCATTTCACAGTCAAAGATATGTTCACCCCAAGATGTTGATTCCTAATTGCCACTACTGCAAATGATGCTTTGTTTGGGTTTAGGGGTTTTGTTAGTTTTTCAGGATGTGATTTTGTTTAGTCTAGTCTTCTAATGTTAAAAAATGGATCTAATACTGGTGTTTAGAATGCTCACTAATTATAGCCATGTATTTGATATACCTGAATCATAGTGATGCCTTGTGGTACATCCATGTTTTAGTCCAGGCACTTTTGAAAACACAGGATCTTGATACAAGAGGTCATTTCGGCCAGAGCCAGGGGGAACCCTGCTCTGGAGGGGCCACTGTGCTCTGTCCTCAGACTACACCAGGTAACACCTCTGAAGCTGCAATGGCAATTTCTGCTATGCATCTTGTGTACCTGGATTCAAACCAGTGCAAACTGAGAGGCAAAACCCTCACCACACTCAGGGGCAGAGTTGAAAAGTCCAGCTCCAAACAGGAGATCAAACAAGATCCAGTGCAAAGCCTGCCCTGCTGCAGCCCTGCAAAGCCAGCAGCTCCAGCCTAGCAGTGGAGAGGGGGTCTGAGCACAGTCCAAGGCTGGCAGATGCTGAGGGGAGGCAGCTGAGAGGAGGGACAGAGCCTCTGACACAGCCTGAGGGACTCAGTGTGTGGGGGATCTGTGGGCACTGCAAGCCTGCTCCTGAAACAGGGCCCCTCCATGCACTGAAACCTGCAGGAGCCCCAGGCAGGAGCAGCACTCCAGGCAGGGCTCCATCCCCCAGCACACCCACCACCCTCCCAGCATCATCCAAGCACCTTGGACGACACAGAACTACAACCTGACCAGTTATTGTTTCTCTTTCTAAAGGCAGCTGCAGACTGATAAATGTCCTCATGGAAGAGAGTGGAGGTGATTTACTGCAGGCCTTTTAACTTCAGGCTTTCAAATCTGCTCCCGTTGTTCCCAAGAAGCTGAACTGTGAGTGTTCTCTCCCTTGCTCAGACCTCGTGCAAAGTCTTTCTGCCAGGGGCAACAGGGGGGACAGGGGGAGAGCAACCTCAACCCCACAAAAATGGGACATGCTAATGAAGATACTGACAGAACTGGACACCACCACTGAGTGCTGCAAAGAGAATTTACATAATGTTACTCTAACAGTTCAGTAAAAATGGCATCAGTAAAAGGAGGCTTTCAAGAAATAAGTTACCCCCAAACACTCAGGGAGTGCAACTGAGTTTCTGTTAGTTTCATTTTGTTACATAAATCACCATTGTTATTATTCTTATTATTATTATTTCTTACTTACGATGTTAAAAGAGCAGGAGGATACTTGAAATAAAAGGCTGTGCATGCACAATACCCATACAAATAAATTCCAGTGATCCACCCTAGCACCAGGCACGGTGCCCTTCCCTGCCCACTGAGCTGAGCCCTCCCTTTAGGAGGAGTAGGGGAATTCATCACCAAATATACAGTATATTGTCATGGAATGATACCAGGAAACAAACAATACTAACAGGAGTCTGAACGTGTCCTTCACGTCATATTAATCTACTGTTTAACTCGGCAGAAAAGACAGTGAGGAAATAAAAGCTCAATTCACCCAGCCTGAGATCAAAACTGTCATGGCAATATTGGCAGGTTAGACCCTGATTCTTTAAATAGTACATTGCCTTTGTTAAACAAAAGTCATTCTTTTATTACATAATAGAGATTATAAATAAATGTAAAGTGTGCATGCAGTCAACTGCATATTATACAAGCAATATCTATGTTAATAATTGCTTTCTTTGGCAGGCCAGAATCCAGCTGGACATGCAATATTTACATATCAAAATCCTTGGTGTGTTCAAGTCATATTGGATGCAAGTGAAAATATATATGTATATATATTTACCATATACACACACATTTATATATATATATGTATAAAGGTATATATACACCTCTGCATATATACTGTATACATATATACACATAGGTATATGCTAAAAGTGGATTTCATCTTTTTCAGATTCGGGTGATGCAGGCCTCGAAACACTAAAAATATCCTGACAGGATATCTGGGGAGGGGACTGGGGTGATAAATGAGACTTGGGGGAAGAGAGCTGGGACACGTTCTTTTCAGACAATATTTTTAAAATTTCTGCCACCTGCTTCTCAAGGGCAGCCATCCTGCTGCTTAGCAGCTGGATATCTTCTTTGAGTTCGTGCTTGACTTCCTGCAGCGTGGTTTGTAAGGCCTGCTCAGGAATGGGGTAGAAAGGACACCTAGCATCCGCCTGGATGGGGCTGTGCTCCAGGGGGCTGCGAGTCTCACCAGCTTTATCCAAGCGAAGGTCACTTTTTGTGATCCCACTGTCACAAGAGTCTGTTTTCCTCAGTGGGTTTTTATTTACACCGTTCTCCGAGTCATTGGACTTGGGGTCGTCGGACAGCAACCCCATGGACTCGGCCTTTGTGACGTTGTTCCAGTCCTCCTTCTTCTCCTCGTGGGCACCCATGGTGTTCTTCAGCCGGAGCCAGCCCTTCCCGTTCCCGTTCTTCATCCTCATGGGGCTGTTCACCTTGAGGCATTTCTGCTCTCCGTTCCCGTTCGGCTTCAGCTCCATCACGTCGCGGTTGTTCTGCTTCACGGCCTCGCTGCTTTTCATGTAGGCCAGGGTGGTCTGGATGGGCGTGATCTGGGACACGGTGACCACGCTGGTGCCCGTGATGGAGGCCCCGTTCTGCACGCTCCTGCTCTCCACCTGCAGCTGGTTCCGCTCGGGGTCGGCGTGGCTGGAGCCCTGGTTGCGCATCTCCTTCTGCTGCTTGAATTTCTGGAAGAGTTTCCGCACGGGGTGGTCCACGGGGATGCTCAGGGTCACCTCATTCTTCTGGCGCAGGCGCTCCTCTTCCTCCTTCTTGACATCGCTGATCTTCCTGAAGATGATCTGTGAGGGGATAAATCCATGACAGAGTCAGGACCCAAAGGACACCGCATGAAAATATTAATTTGAGGTGGGTAATAAGTCTTGAGAACAGCCATTTCTCTCTTTATTCTTAATTCTGATCTTCCTTTCCATCTTAATTTTTTGTAGTGATTTCAAATGGAGCTGATCAAAACACAGCAACCTCAAGGTTAACCACTATAGATAGGGTACTTATGTCACAGACATCTTTTCTGAAAAATCCTTTCCTTAGGATTTTTCCTCCTGAGAAGCTGGGAGGCCTCAGGAACAAAATGCAAACAATGATTATCTGCTGCTGTGGAATGCAACAGGTGGATCTGTGATTGGTCTCATGTGGTTGTTTCTAATTAATGGCCAATCACAGCTGGCTCGGACTCTGTCTGAGACAAGCTTTTGTTATCATTCCTTCTTTTTCTACTCTTAGCTAGCCTTCTGATGAAATCCTTTCTTCTATTCTTTCAGTATAGTTTTATTTTAATATAAATAATAAAATAATAAATCAAGCCTTCTGAAACATGGAGTCAGATCCTCATCTCTTCCCTCATCCTGGGACCCCTGTGAACACGGTCACATACTTACACACACACACAGACACTTTCTTAACAGGATACATTAAAGGTGGGTTTCACCTTTTTTCTTGATGCAGAAGATACTAATACTTGAAGAACTAAAAATATCCAAACACCAACAGAAGGAAAGGAACGGAACAAAGAGAAGAAAGCCCTTGACAAAGAACCCAAATACTGTGATGCCATTACTCACACTCATACCTGCTCTGTCACTATCTTTAGTACAGATCAAAAGGAAACAGTAATTCAGCAGGGACTACACAGCTGCAAGATAAATTCAATGTACACACCCTTCCAGAGGCTGCAAAATCCCAGCTTGCTCAATACTTTTTGGTTTTGCTGTTAGGGTTAGGGTTTTTAGGAGTGTTGGAGGGTGCAATTAGGTTCCTCGTGGGTCACAAGTGTGGCTTCACACATTATACAAGTGTTTACTGCAGAATTAGTATGCCTAATATGTGTAGGTGAACTGGCAGCACCATGGAGAAGCAGAGTAACAGGGCTGTGTGTGGCTCTAAATCCCAGCAATATCCAACCTCTCATCATGCCATTTAATGCTGAGTTATTTCACCCAGCAGCATGTCTCAGGCTGCTACAGAAAAAGGATTTGAGTCTCAAGCTGAGGGAGGATCTACAGAGCAAAATCTTTTTGTTGATTATCTGCATGTTACTCATATGATTTTTTGTTTTTATTTTTAGGTTCATCCAGTTTTCTTGAATGTGGGACTGGGAATCTGGGAAACTGGTTCTCTGTTTGACAACACTGTGAAAAGCAGCCTGTGATTAAATACAAATATGGACTGTGAAGGGATAGTGTGGTAAGAAAAGGAAAACAAAGCCCTTGAAATACACAAACAAAACCCTGTGTCAGTCAGCTGTAGGCTTTTGAAATATCAACTTGAGTATCCATATTTGAGAATCTATTTACTTTCAAGTCTCACATCTTCAGAAGTCAGCAGAGAAGTGCCATGATGGGTACAGATCTTCCCTGCATGAATCTGGGATGAGCTGGACTTCAAAGCTTCATTAGAGAGCTTTCAAATGCAGTAGATCTCTCCTTGCCTGCTGCTGATAGACACAGCTGCTTAGAATAATTTGGTTAACTTGCTTATTAGAAGCCCAAATATAAACAAAACCAAGGGACAACCATGGAAGTTACTTTAATGCGACTGCTCTGACCTAGATGCAGTGACACATTCCCTCATTTGGAGGCTCCCCTTCATTAGCAGCTGCCCTCATGGAGCTTTTCTCTCTCTCTCTCTCTCTCTCTCTCTCTCTCTCTCTGGCCACTCTCAAGAGCAAATAAGGGCAAGAGAAACTGCCCTTGATTCAAAATTGAGTGATCACATTTAATTGAAGCCACACTCTCTAAAGGCCCATTTGGAAGGTGGGTGGTGTGTGATGTTTAGTTTGTGCCTCTCTTGCCCCAGAGGGCAGCACAGCACCTCTGGCAGAAGATGCAGCAGTGAAAGCAGCCAGCTGCAAGGATGTGTCCCCCAGGATGTGTCCCCAAGGTCTCAGGGGGACATGGCTGGTTCCCCTCCAGGTGTCCCTGTTTGGCTTTGCTTGTGCTGAGTCCCTGAAAACATCTGCAATGGGGGAAACATCCTCTACCCAATGCTTTAAAAGGTTGTGTAGGGACAGGACAAAGGGAGATTGGCTTTAAAATGAGAGTAGGTTTAGACTGGATGCTAGGAAGAAATTATTTACTGTGAGGATGGTGAGGCACTGGTGCAGGCTGCCCAGAGCTGCCCCATCCCTGGCAGTTTTCCAGGTCAGGTTGGATGGGGTTTGGAGCAACCTGGGATAGTAGAAGATGTCCCTGCCCATGGCAGGGGGTTGGAAATGGATGATCTTTAAAGTCCCTTCCAACCCAAACCATTCTGTGTTTCCATGATTTCCCTGCTTTCTGCCATGAATCTGTTTCACAGCTTGAGCCCCCTGCTCCCTGCAGGCTGCCTGTGCCTGGCTGGGCTGTCCAGAGGCAGTGGGGGATGCTGGAAGGGAAGGATGCTGGAAGGGAGGCAGCTCCAGCAGGCACAGGAAGCTGCAGCAAGCACAGCAAGCACAGCAAGCACAGGCCCACGGTGCTTCCCTGGCCAGCGTGGCACTAGATGGGCCATTGGGAAAGGCAGGAGGAACTCTGACAACTCCTATCCTACTGCATGTTTACAATAACCAGAATGACAGCAACAAAGGCCACAGCAGCAGTTTTTGATTCCTCTCCCAAATCTTCCACTTCATTGAAAATTACCCTCACCTCTCTTTCTTCCCCAACCCAATGTTGGTTCTTTTATCCCTCTTCTAGACTCAGTTCAAACCTTTTGCAGACAGAGGTTATCTCCCTGCACAGAATATAATTACCAGCGACTGCTGCTGCTGGGCTTGGCAGAAGAAAAGCCAAAACCTCTCTAATCTGACACCACCTGTACCTCACACCCCTGAAGTGTGTCCTTATAAAAGTCAGGAAATTACTGTGAAGCTTTTTGCCCCAGAACCACTTGGCCAGGTGTCATTTGGATGGGCTGAGCCCAGTGACAGGGGCGTCTGAGCCTGAGTGCTGCTGTGACTCAGAGCAGAGCAAACACTTTGGGAACAGCAGAAAGGGATGGTGGCCAAGGTGGCAAATGCCATCAGATACATCATGCAAATCTGGTCTGCTGTGTGAGGCCAAGGACCCGCTGACCACTCACAGCCATGAGCTTTACCCCATGGCAAAGCTTTATGGCCATGCAGTGAAGACACACACCCAAAGCCCTGCTGTCACCTCCTCAAAACATGTTCTCTCAGCTTCCTGCAGGACACAAGCTGACAGAGATCTTCAATGAGTTATTTCCCTTTTCTTCTCTTGGGACAGAAAATGCTCCAGCCTGGAATGGTTCTGAGCAGCTCCTCTGAAGGAGCAGATCTGCCACAAACTGATTAGTGCAGAAAATGCCCAGGGACTCAGAAATCCGAGGGTTTGCTGAGAGTCAAGGATTCAGGAGTGATCTACCTCAGTGGAGCCCTATTTCCAATGGAGCAAAGGTGGGCTGGAGCACAGCCCTGGACCTACTCCCCTTGGTTTTCTCATGTAACATGTAGGTGTTCATGGCTGTTTTATTTTCTTTTTCACTCAGAACTGCATAACCAAGCAGACCCTCACATCCCAACTCACCCTGTGGGATAATGGCACTTTGAATGGAGACTGAGGTCTTGGTCCTCACTCTCCCACTGAACTACTCTGCCAAGGAAATAATTTCACCCCATGGAGAACTTCCCTCTCTTCCTACCCCTCAGCCAAGGGAGATGCACCCCTAGCACAGCAAGGATCCAGTTTTGGTCAGGAGTACTTGAGAGCAGTAGAATATGTACAAGTAAAAGAAAAGAAAGATCCTACATGGACAAAGAACTGAAGAAAAAAAACCAAGATGTGAATTCTAGCACTAACAGAGCAATAGTTATTTTTCATTACCAATTTTTTCCATATTAGGAGATTTTTCATGTGGCTGGATTTAATCTGCTTCCACAGTGGTTTAAACTAAACCAGAATAGTTAAAATGTGTTTACATTTACAAATGTTTGCATGGAAACTTAATTCTATTAATGTCTAATAACTTTAACCAGCTTTTTTTCTTTATAAATAAGAACTGAAAAACATCTCATGCAATCTGACATTTCTCTGCAGATTGGAAGAGCATTATTTTGAAATCTTAGGCTGGATGAGCTATTTAATTTGTCCCTGACCCTTCTCAGAGAAGTTACACACAGGCCTGCCCAAATGTATGTCCCAGGAACAGTCACAATCTTTAAAGAAGAAGCTGAATTAAGTGTGTATAGTTTATTTCAAGGAGTAAAGTGCCACACTCCTGTCTCACACCAAGTTCTAAATTCATTAATGTAACAGACATTCAGTACAGGACTCCATTTCCTTTATGGATCAGATTGTGAAAGACCCTTCCATGTGGCACAAATTTTGTCCCAGGGGTCCACGTTCCTGGGTTTCTCTTTGTGTCTTTATTTTGGGTAGAAGGGGCAACAGAGATGACATTAATTACTGAGCTGGCAAAGATGAAGCAGAAGTTAACTGACATTCAGCCATGGGGACTGAAATACTCAGGTTATTTATGAGGCAGGCATGGAGGAGAAAACAGCAATTTGAGATTCTCCATCTGATCTCAATCTCAGCCTCCCTTGCACACCAAGAGGTAACTGATGTGAGTGTGAACTCTGTCCCTGTCCCTCCAAAGGGGGACCTTACCCCAGGTCCTAGCAATGGATGTGTCACAGCTCCTGTGAGGTGCCAGCTTGTATAACCAGCCCCAAAGCCAAGTGCAGATGAGGGCACCAGCAATGAGGAGTCAGGGAGGCAGCTCAAAGTTGAGACACACACTGAATTAAAGAGTAAAGCTGTGGCCTTTTCAGGTGCTTTGAAAT